AACTTTTTAAAGTCAAGCTTTTTAAATGTGCATGTCCAAAGACACCTATAATAAGGCAAATCTGTTGTATTTGTTTATCCTCAATAAGTACTTTTGCTTGTTGACAATTGTTTTTAAATCCACTGCACAGCCATGCTGAAAAGTGACAATGGTGTTAAGACATTTTAAAGCCCCAGTGTAAAATATTGTGTGTAACAAAGGTTACATAAAAATACACTCACCAAATTAAAATGTTAAAATGATTAAAAGTTTCAGCTCGTTCTTCAGGGACCTGAATTCAGTCCAACACTTTACTGACATTGAGAACATATTCAATATGTTTCAATTATTTCTGAGACTGTTGTATAGACTGAGAAATGTCTCCTGTCTTTTCTCTCTCACACAGGAAGCCCTCAGGCTCTCATTCCTATACACGGAGTTGGGCCTGGACCCTCCTCAGCCTTCACGCAAGAGGAAGAGATAGTAAGGCTGTCAGGAATCAAATGACAATGACCCAAACATCGACCACAACAACTAGGAGGACACAATGGTGCCCAAATATTTAACAATACCAGTGGAAGAAAAGACAACTTCAACAGTGGATGTATCTGCAATGATCCTGTTTATTACAGCTTTTGACGTAAATCCTATACAGAGGAGTACATAAGGAATGCCATTGCCCATTCATATTAGCATTTATAAAGTATGTCCAGGGCCCCCAAATAGCAGGCCTTCTCAGACACGTAGCACTGTCTGGGGTGGTTGGGATTAAACCGAGTGTGGGTGGAGTACTGAATCACCAAACCCTCCCCTGCTTCTGTCAGGATCCGAGACTTTTGCAACACCTTGCCATCACTGACTTGGTTTGTGCTCATCAGCACCTTCAGCTGGTCTGGTAACTCAGGAATAGAGGAGAGATCTGTGACGACAGATTCTATACCAAAGTTAAGCACCATAAGGAAAGCTTGGTTAAGCCCATCCAGCTCTCTGAGGAAAGCAAAGACACTGGCATCAGCGTGGACGTAGCAGAACCACCCACGCTGAAGGGGGAGCTCTGACTGACGCAGCATGTTCAGGAAACGGTACTGAGCCAGAACAGAACTTTCATCTTTCTTCTGGACCTACAAAAAAGAGTGGCGAGAGAATGCATGATCTTAAAGGAAGGTAAACCTGAACAAGCTCAGATCAGATGTTTGTCCAGAGTTGAACACTACTAAAAGAGTTCTGTACCTCCACATTTATGCTTTTGTATTCAGGGTGTACAGGCAACCAGGTGACGTTGGTTTTGTTGTTGAAGCCTGCATTCATGTCACCACTCCACTGCATTGGAGACCGCTCAGGGTCCCGACTGGCACTCTGCAGTGAAAGGAGAGGAATCATTTTGGCATTTCAGCTTCTTGTGCCAGTTTGACAATGAATGTATAGTATATGGACACACTTTAATGTACATACAATCAGTTGCCAGTTTCTTAGCTACACCAAGACAAAACCAATGCAGTCTAAAATACAACAAACCTTGAAATAAACGATACCTTTGTGAAGATTAAATTTAGTTTTTGTTGAAATGGTTATACAGAGGTGGTGATTTAACTTAATGGGCTTTTATCCAGGCTGTATATACAGTAAACAGGCTTTTTCTTTTATACACCAATTTCACTTGGCAGACATTACAGTATTTAATGTTTTTTTCAGAGTAGTATGTACAGAACTGACCTTATTGTATTTGCCAGCAGGGTCCTGTATCTGACTATCTGTGACATTAATGTTCTCCATGCCGATCTCTTCGCCATAGTAGGTGGTGGGTGTGCCTGGAAGGGTCAGCAGCAGCATGTTGATGACACGAATATAGGTCTGACCAGCACTGGAGGCAATTCGAGGCCTGTCATGGTTCCCAACCTGATAACAGTGGTAACAGGTATGAGAAATACAAGAGGAGAGGTGAGTGAGATAACTTGGGAAGGAAGACAGCAGGGGGAAATTGAAGGGTTGGTGTCATGGAAGAGAAAGCTGAAGTTAAAAAGTGAGGGATACAGGATGAAAATAAAGTGAGACTGGCTGAGGTGGAGAAATATTGTGGGCTGTCACAGAGGAGTAAATGATGCTGAGACAATTAGTGTCACTCATACGGGAAACACGTCTCTGTGACAGAAGAACTCCTAATCCATTGGTAGCTGATCCCAGAGGGAAACTGAAGCACACATTGTTTTCTTAGTTATCTGTAGGTGGTAGGGTCTGATGCACATAGCATCTAAATGTTATTGTGTGTACCGAATCAGTTCACATTTTCTTTCTGGTCTCATCTAGTCACATGATCCACCTTATCACAGAGGATAAGGTAAACAGGTCAGTGTTAAAGTTTGTGTTTTTGTGATACTACTATCGTTTAATACTAAGCTTGATGAGCAATGTACAGCCTGTGTAATAAATAATAGCACATAAAAATATCTTGTGGTTATGAAAGAAAATGGAAGAGAAACACCAACTAACATTGAGACTGACCCAGCAGTCCATAGCTGAGATGGATAAAAGATGCTAATCTGAGGGTGTCAGCATGCATATCATTCAAATATCACAACGTGTGGCTCTTGCCACCCCTCGTCTTGATTTGACCTTGTGGTTCTTACCATTATAATGGAGAACAAAAGATCAAGCATAATCTGCAGTTATGTCTGTGGAAGGCTGATTATTTGGAGTCAATCCAATATCTCTCTCTCGTTTTTAAAGAAGCCAAGAAACTAATATGTAAATGTAAGTGTGGAGACTCACCACCCAGTTGGCCCATTGTCCCCTGGGCATGTTGGACATCCACAGGTGAACCAGATGTTGAACCCACAAGCCACTGGTGTTCTGAGGCAGGTCCAGCAGGTAAAAGTTAAAGGGGAAGTCACTTTCTTTAACCAGTGGAGTGCCATAGTACATCATGGTCTTGTCCACCTCGTGGTAATCATATGACTCCGTCACCATGAACCTGTTGTGTATGATAACATGCAAACTGATCTTCATTCAAGACTCGGCAAGTGAGTTCCTCTGATCTCTTTTATACAGTCCATTATACAAGATTATTGGCTTTTAACAAAAGTATTTATTAATGCCATAGTAAAATACAAATTTGTATCTGAAAATAGGAATATTAAATCTTTTAAATGAATGTTGCACAATCTTAATATTGTCTTGGATCTTAATTATGTCTTGGTACTATATATGTCTATATACATCTATGTATTAAGTAAGTAGTAAGAACATAACCCAGTGCCAACCTGTCCAATAGCATTATTGTATTGCTATAGCTCCCATACCTGTATCTGCCAGGCTCACGGCTGTAGATGTCCATCTCAGCCCTCCAGTCCCTCAGAAGGTCATGCAAGCCCAGCTGACTGGTGGTGTAGTCATGGTAGAGGTCCCACTCTGTGGTTACAGACTCCTGCAGTGTTATGAATACAAAGAAATGTGAGGTGATGTGGCTATTATTGGATTTCTGGCCTATTGGGTTAGTAGTGTTAGAGTCAGGTTTTGCATTTTGTTAAGGTAGGCTACTAGTGGTCCATTCATAGAAAAGCTTCCACCCTGAGATCATCCACTATAGTGCATTAAGAGAGCTCAACTGTAATTTCCTCTGCCCACTGGGAGTTAGGAGAGCGTGGGTGTAAATGCGTTCCTTTGTCAGGCCAAAGCATGGTGTCCTGTCACAGGCCAGGTATTTGGAAAATAAGTAGAAACCAGATACGGAAAGCGTAGAGGCCAATGACCAAGGATTACTATTGTGTGTAAGGAATGTTCATTGGGACATTATGTGTTGTAATAGTCTTAACAAAAGATGACAGGAATACAGAATACATTAAAAAAGAGACAGGCAGTCTTTTTAAATTATACCTGTGGGAAAATTCGACCCACTGGGCCCTAATGTGACAGCAAAGCACTAGGTTTACTATTTTAAGGGAATCAGCCGGGGAAACTGCTTCACTCCTGGAAGCTCTATTGAGGCACATTGACGTAATCCTCCTCTAAAAACTAACACCTAATGTGTGTGTTTTTTTGTGTGGGAGTAAGTCAAACACAGGGACAACACACAAACGACACACACAGGCCATCAATCTATTCACGGACATAATGACAGAGACAGCCGTGCTAACCACCAAACTGACGTGCAGCCACATGAGCAAACAATCCAGCAAACAGCCAGTAAAGAACATAGCGGGTCTGAATTTAAAGCTCAACCGTCATTAAAGCAGTAAAGATAACACACATAGTTGCTCAGTAATGATTAGTTGAATCATATGATAAAATTGTGGTAAAATCCTCAATATGCAAATAAACACACAGCTGTGACTCTACTTTTTGTAAATGCATAAAAAAAATATCTAATGCCAAACAGTGATACTAAGTTTAGTCATCAGTCACCACAAAGCACAGCTTGGCGTGGGATATTGCTTAAAAATGAGTAGTTCTCTAATTTGGCTGGACTGCCGCAACACTAAGTAGACAAGTCAGTCAGTACTATAGAGTTATTCTGCGGTGGTAAGTAAATCCCAGTGACTTGCTAATCCACCAAAATATGCCTATTTTCTACTAATCTTCCTTCTGTGAGAAATAACTCCAGCCCCAGTGGAACAAAAACTCTTTCTTAGGGAGCTTAAATCTGCATGAATGATGAACCCTTCAGATTCCAAGAACAGTGTTTTCTCCAGAAGGGGACTAGATGATCCTGACATTTAAGCCAGAGATAAAGGATGAATGATACATCATGTACAGTGCGAACTCTCCCACTCAGCTGAGCAGCATTATGTTTGTTCTACCAGCTACTCCAGAAAGCAAAGCTTCTGCCCACAGTGCTGCTTTTATCCCTCAGACCGTTAAAATCTGGACTCTGACATCTCACACGTTATATAAGTCCACTAAATAAAATCAGAATATAATTATATAACTGGATGTTACAGCTGAGATTGTTAACTAATCTGAACTTTGATCTTGTGAACTCGGAGGAAGAAGAGCTGCCAGGTGATAAGAGCACAATAGAGCTCTTCAAGTTCTTCCTAACCTTACTCCCTGAACAGACCTTTTGGATACTGTTTGTCACTTGTTATTGAAAATTAAACCTGACCATCTCATCAAAGCAAAGCACCCCCCTCAAAAACATGATCTATTTATCCAAAACGATGACTACAGCTGTGAAAGATTCTTCTGCAGCACCCTCAGAGCTCAGTCACTGAAATTAGATTTGATTGGAGCTGAAGCTTGAGGCCTTGCACGAGGTTAAATGTTTTTGGTAGCAGAGCGTCACACCTGCTCCGCCATTCGATACGGATCCATTTCAGCCGGCATATCAGACAGACCTTACCATCTTTGGTGCCCGCGTCGAGTCAACGTGAGGACAAACAGCTGCTAGAACTAAGCCAGCAGACATTTGCTGCCCGTTAGAGATAAACAATGGTACCAAGTGAGGTTAAATGTTATGAGGAGCAAATTGGTAACACTCACTGGTGGTTTGTTTGGGTCCACCTGTGGTTCATTCCTTAGGTGCGCAGCCTCCAAGATGTGCTTCACCGCATCCATCCGGAAGCCATCCACTCCTTTACCCAGCCAGAAATGGATAATATCCTAAAATAAAATAATAAATATCAAGTAATAAAACGGTTGTATCTTACACTAACTTCACCAGGCTCTTCATTCAACTACAACACAGGACTATTGAGTACAAACATGCTGTTGTTGTATAATGTGCTGTGTGTAGCAGCAGTTAAAAACACAAGGATTACCTGTCCTTGTAAAGTTAATGTGTAATCAGTTGACAATCCCACATTATTGCTGCATATTACGCAGGATTGTGGTGCAGCGGACAAGACCAAAGGGATGAGGACAACACTGAGATACAGCATGCGAGTCACCAAAAAAAACAAACGCTTTTAGAAATGAAACCATGTGTGCAGTCGAGTTATCTTACAATCATCTCTTGGCTGACATTTGGGTTCCTGAAGTTCAGGTCTGGTTGCTCTTTGAGGAACTGGTGCAGGTAGCATTGTCCTCTAACTTCATCATAAGTCCACGACGAGTTCCCAAACACACTCACCTGAGGAAAAGGGCATTAGGAAGTGTAGACATTACGAAACTACCCATCCGACACCAGCATTATAAAGAGAAAACTGTTTGAATTTCAAATTCAAGAGAACAGTTCAAGTACCAACCCAGTTATTAGGTCTGGGTACGGTTTCATTGCAGTCAGCCCAGATGTAGTAGTCCTTGTAATGAGGATCTCCAGTCCGGCTCAGGTTGAACCAGCGGTGTCGGTCACTTGTGTGATTGGGAATGAAATCCATGATCAACTTCAAACCTGGTGGAAACAGAAAGATTAGTAAAAGACATGCACCCTGCCATTGAGCCAACCCCCAAGACAAAACACGCGTTGATCCACCATCACTTCTCCCACCACGGAGTCCACACCTTTGTTGTGCATTTCAGCCAGGAGCGCTTCAAAGTCCTCCATGGTCCCAAAGAGTGGGTCAATGGCCCGGAAATCTTCCACATCGTAGCCAAAGTCCTTCATGGGAGAGCGGTAGAAAGGACTGATCCAAACGGACTTGATGTTCAGGTACTGGAAGTGATCCAGCTGCTCCTGAATTCCTGCCAGACCAGAGACATGTCAACAGTGATGAATACTGAATACTGAATAAATACTGCTGTACTTTTTCCCCAATGACCAGTCCCAGGACAAAGAAGAGCAAACCCTGTATTAATACTGATGCTGTCAACAGTTAACATTTGGGTCATATGGTGGAATAAATCAAACTAGTAAAAACCACAATAAGGAAGGGATCTGGAAGTAGACGTTTTCCTTCAATAATGAATAAATGATAATGTACCATCCTACTATAAGATAACTATCATTCCACTCTCACAATGGCTTAAATCGTGTTAAATTCATGTTATCACTGAGTGTGAGGGAATGTTTCCTTCTCTGGGCTGAAGGTAGAATAACACAGGGTCAGGGGGCCACGACTGTGTGGGTTGCAGGATTAATGACCGGTGCAGCGGGGGTCAGGAGCATCCTACCTTTGAGGTCTCCGACCCCATCTCCGTCGGAGTCTTTGAAGGACCGGGGGTAAACCTGGTACACCGGGGAGGTCTGCCACCAGCTCAGGCAGCGCGGCGACAGCGCGATCACCGTGGCGGTGAGTACCACCAGCGCCAGGGTGCAGACCACCGTCAGCCAGAACAGGATCTCTCGGGACACTCGGTACCGGGCCTGGGAGGAGTACAGCAGCAACACCTCCTTGGGCATCCCGGCGTACGGTTTGAGCTGCGTGTACTCCTCAGCCGCGTCCGGGTCCAGCTTCACCGCGGTGGAGTCCTGCTTCTCCCCGGGGACAGTGGCGGCGGATGGTGTCCGCCGCCGAGCCACCGTCGTCTGCATCCTGAAAGCCCGGGTTCCTGGTGCACTCCCCCAGCTCCATACTGCCGGTTTCTTTCTTCAAATTCATCTGATTGAGATTTTCTTAAGGAGGGGGAAACCTGAAAACAAACCGTGCTGGTTTAGCTCTCCTTCAAGAAGACCGAGTGGCTCAATGAGTAATTGATCTGCTGGTAAGAGGGTCAGAGTACACACACTCTCTCTCTCCTATCTTCTCTGTTTCTCTCACACACACA